AAGTGGCAGCATCGATGGACTCAAGCATGGCAACAGTAGTGAGGTTGGCCCAGGATCGGTCAGTGTTTCGTTATGCTGTGCATAAGGTTGCTATGGGTTGGTACCGACTCGATGGTACCTAACAATGACAACATAAAGACCAGTAAATACAGGTATTATTTAAATTTACATACCAACCACTAAAGACAGTAATGACGAAATTGAAAAATTCTACCAACTGCTTCAACCTGAAATTGATCAAAACTGCAATCAACATGTATTGATAATTACTGGTGATTGGAATGCAGAGGCTGGAAACAAAGAGGAAGGATAAGTTGTTGGAAGATATGGAGATCGCATGATAGAATTTTGCAAGATCAACTACTTCTTTCTTGAAAATACGTTTCTTAAACAAACTTAAAAATGACTATACACATGGACCTCACAATATGGAATACACAGAAATCAAATTGACTGCATCTGTAGAAAGAGACAGTGGAAAAGCTCCATATCATAAGCCAAAACATGGTCAGGGCAGACTGTGGAACCAACCATCAATTGCTCATATGCAAGTTCAGGCTGAAGCTGCAGAAAATGAAAACAATGCCAGGAAAGCCAAAATATGACCCTGAACATATCCCACTTGAACTTAGAGATCATCTGAAGAACAGATTTGATGAATTAGACACTAATGGAGGAAGATCAGAAGACTTGTAGGATGACATATAGAAAACATCATGCAGTGAGAAACAAAAAGATCATTAAGAAGACAAGAAAGAAGAAAAAGACCAAAATGGATGTCAGAAGACACTCTGAAACTTGCTTTCCAATGTAGAGATGCTAAAAAGCAAATGGAGGAGATAAGGAGATGTAAAAGCTGAAGAAAAAATTTCAAAGTACAGTTCTATAAGATAAAGTCAAATGCTATAATAACATGTGCAAAGACCTGGAGTTAGGAAACCAAAAGTTATGAACACACTCAGCATTTGTCAAGCTGAGGAACTGAAGAATAAATTCAAGCCTCAACTTACAATACTGAAGTATCCTATGGGCAAAATGGAGTTCTGATGTGGTGCTGTGGGTTAATGTGCTGGACTGCAAGATCAGTTTGAACTGCAAGGTTGGTGGTTCAAGGTCACAGCTGCTTGTCATAAACCCAATACACAGTTGCAATGAGACAGAAAAGATTCAACGGTACTTAATAGCAACAACAACAATGGATAAAATATTAAATGATGCAGAAAGCATCAAAAGAAGATGGAAGGAATACAGAGTCATTGTACCAATAAGAAATGTTCGATGTTCAACCATTTCAAAGATTAGCATGTGATCAAGGGCCAATGATACTGTAGAAGAAGTCCAAGATACACTGAAGGCATTGACAAAGACCAACTCGCCGGGAAATCTTTCAACAACTGATATAGCACTGGAAGCACTCACCCATCTGTGCCAAGAAATTTGGAAGACAGCTACCTGTCCAACTGATTGTAAGAGATCCATCCTTACGCCCCTTCCAAAGAAAGGTGACCCCATGGAATATGTAAAATCATTGGACAATGTCATTATTAATTATATGCAAGCAAAATTTTGCTAAAGATAATTCAAAAATGACTGCAATATTTTATTGACAGAGAACTGCCAGAGGCTCAAGCAGATTCAGAGGAGGATGTGGAACAAGAAATATCATTGCTGATGGCAGATGGATCTTGGATGAAAGTAGAGCATATCAGAAAGATGTTTACCTGTGCTTTATTGACTACACAAAGGCTTTTGATTATGTGGATCATGATAATCTATGGACAGCATTGAAGAGTATTCCAGGACACAGACTAAGAGGCAGTTGTTTAAATAAAACAAGGGAACACTGAATGGTTTAAAATTAGGAAAGTTGTGTGCCAGGGTTGTATTCTTCCACCATACTTATTCAATATGTATGCTGAGCAAATAATTCGAGAAGCTGGATTATATGAAGAAGAAAATGACATCAGAATTGGGGGAAGGCTCATTAACAACCTGTGATATATAGATAATACAACCATGCTTGCTGAAAGCAAAGAGGACTTAAAATACTGATGAAGATCAAAGATTACAACCTTCAGTATAGATTGCCATCAGTGTGAAAAAAGCAAAAATACTCACTACTGCACAAATAAATAACAGCAAGATAAATGAAGACTGCAGTTGTCAAAGACTTCATTTTGCTCATATCAACCATTAACACTCATGGAAAAAGTAGTCAAAAAATCAAATGACATATTGCATTAAGCAAATCTACTGCACAAGACCTCTTCAAAGTTTTCAAGAGCAAAGATGTCATCTTCAGGACTAATGTACACCTGATCCAAGCCATGATATTTTCAATAACCTCATACGCATGTGAAAGTTAGACAATGAATAAAGAAAATCATAAAAGAATTGATGCATTTGAGTCATAATGGTTGAGGATAATTAAAAGTACCATGGACTGCCAAAAGTACAAACAAATCTGTGTTGGAAGTAATACAGCCAAGAATGCTCCTCAGCAGCCAGGCTAGCCAGACTTTGTCTCTCACACTTCATACATATTATCAGGAGAGACCTGTCCCTGGAGAAAGACATTATGTTTGGTAAAATGGAGAGTCATAAAAAAAAAGAGGAAGACCCTCATGAAGATAGAATGGCACAGTGGTAGTATTAATGGGCTCAAGAGTAGTAAAGATTGAGGTTGGTGCAGGACTGTGTAGTTTTTCATTCCGTTGTGCATAAGGATGCTGTGAGTTGGTGCCAACTTGATGGCATCTATCAACAAGATACTAATGGGAAGATTTTACATTATAAGTATGATATGATCCTGGCTTGTTTATTTAATTGATATATCATGAAA